ATAAGCCTTATTTTGATTAGTTCTTTTAGAATGTATGTTAAGGAATTTTAAAATTGCTCAAACCTTGCTGCCTTGGGTCTGGTTCTGCGTGTAAGAAGGGACAGAGTAAGGTTTAGTAGCAGGAGTGAAGAGGCAGGCAGGGCAGGAGCAGGCCAGAAGAAGCTGGCAAGGCCATCCAAACCACCCAGCCGCTTTTGGCCAGAGCCGCCTGAGGCAGACCTCCTCGGACTGGCAACAGCTGACTCTGACTAGGACAGACTGGGCTCTTTCCAAATGGACCCCCATGAGCCGATGGTCGAAATGAAAATCGGGGGCCAGACTGTGAACTTTATGGTTGATACAGGAGCAGAGCACTTGGTAGTTACTCAGAAGGTAGCACCCCTATCAGGGCAGGAAGTCACCATTACTGGAGCTACCAGGACCACAGCTGCAGACTGTTCTGCCACCCCCGCTGATGTCAGTTAGGTGGCCACCAGGTGGTTCATGAATTCCTGTATTTGCCAGAATGCCTGTACCCCTTTCTTGGAAGTGATCTCTTATAGAAATTACAAGCCACCCATAAGCTTGTTCGAGACTCCCTGCCAGTGCCACCTCGGACCCTGTACATCCTTTCCAGCCTGGGGACTCGGTGTGGGTAAAGAAGCTCACTTCCCAAGGACTCACGCCAACTTGAAAAGGACTATACACTGTCGCCCTGCTGATGGCATCCAGACCTGGGTACACCACTCCCAGCTCCTGCACCAGGAAATGGCCTTGATCCTGGCAGCCAGCGGCCTCACCCGTGAGATCCCTAGCCTGGGCTCCATGCAGGCCAGGAGGAGGCTCAACGCCCTCAGGAAGGGAACTGGACTTCAGTGAGGACAGTACTGATGGGGACCGTGGCACTAGGGCACTTGGTAACTGTAAGAACATTTTTTTTCTAGCCAGTGAGAAAGTCCAGGGACAAGTGGGGCTAGATGTGCTGGGAGACAGGAGAGCAGGAACAGAATAGAGAATTCCCCTAAAAGAAGTGGGGTGAGTAAATGAAAATTAAATGTGCCAAACTAGCAGTTTAGAAAAATTAATTCGGTCAAACTACTTGTAGTTAGGGGGCAGTACAATCCCCTAACTAGTAAAGATGAGTCCATGATTTGACTCATGTACATAAAACCAGTGGGGAATGAAGTATGGTACCTATTTGCTTTGCTTAACAGTGGAAAAGTTATTTTGATTTTCTGAATTGTATACATCATGTCCAAAAACAGGACAATTGCGCCCATTAGTTTTAAACCAGCTTTTCTCTTTACATGTGAACAGAAGTGCCAGACACATTTTTAAATTTTGTAGAACTTTTCAATTACAAGGAGACTTTAAATTATAACACTCAGGGAGGAGGCGTCCATATTGGATCACCATGTGCTGCCTTCTTTCGTTCCCCACATCCCGCTTTGGGGAAGTTTCAGCAAATGACTCAAATGGCGTATTTTTCCCAAAGTCATGATTAATAGAAAGACATTTAAATTTTTTTTCCTATTTCACTACAACAAAGACACAAAAACATCAAGGCACACAGAACACACTAAAGTTTACAGCAGAGAATGTCCAGTATTAGAAACTACCAAAGCAGTGTCTTTTGTCCCTGCTTCAGGAACTTCCCCTCTCTAGAATTTCAGTATATTCCCAATGGACTATTCAAAAAACAAACAAACAATGGGCTAAAGGAAAAACAAGGAGTAGATATTAATTAACTTCAGAATAGTTCTGAGACAGTCTCTAAAATTTTATTAATTTCCATCTTATCAGAATAAATTTTTCCTGTGCTTTTCTCTAGAAGTTTCCAATTTCCAAATCAAGATATGCTTCCCATGTACTCATTCAGTTTAATTTCAGAGCCAGCATTTTCTAATTTTTGCATGCAAAATATTAACATAGATACCCCAAACTGCATTTTAGCCATTTCTCAGTTAATATTTTCTAATTAAATCGAGCAGAACCTCTCTGGAGATCCAGACCAGAACTTGGCTGGCGATCCTGGCTGGAGATCCTGGCTAGGCTGCTGATCAACTGAACACTGTCTCCGTGTCCTTCCTTCTTCACCGACTCCATCTACGCCTTTGGGAACCCCTGGACCTGCTGGGGTTGGACCCCGGCAGTCACTGGAACTGAGAGCCAGCTTTAGCTCTGAGGCTAGGCTCCAGCTCTGAGACCTTGGCTGCTGAAAGCAGATATCTGGGTTTGTTTGGCTTCTATAATTGAAACACTGTTGCAGCTCCAGCTCTGAGGCCCAGCTGGCTGAAAGCAGGTTTCTGGGGTTTGTTTAGCTTCTATAATTGCAACATTGTTTCTTAGAGTGCAGTTCAGAGGCCGGCAGCGGCAGGCGGGGAACCTTGGCTTCCTCCATCGCTGGAGCAAGCAAGCCTCCTGTTCGCTTCAGCTGCCTGGCTGCCGGCCGCCATCTTGGTTGGCGGTTAATTTGCATATCGCCCTGATTGGCCAATGGGAGGTGTGTCAGAGGTGCGGTTAATTGCCATGTTTGTATATTATTAGATAGGACATGTAATTATCTTCATTTATTCATCAGCCAAAGGAAATTTGGGTTGTTTCTATATCATGGATATGGTGAATAATACTTCAATAAACAAGGGAATGCAGATATCTCTTTGATATAGTGACTTAATTTCTTCCATATATATATATATGTATATATATATATATATACCCTATCTAATAATAGACAAACATGGTAATTGACAGTACCTTCGCTACGCCTCCCATTGGCTAATCAGCGGGATGTGCAAATTAACCGCCAACAGAGATGGAGGTTAATTTGCATACACAGGCGCAATGCGGCGGAGCAAAGACTGAAGGTGGCTCCGGCCAGAGCGAAGGCCTGGGTCCCAGGTGCCAGAGGAAAACTGGTGCCGGCAGCCAGGGGAAGGGAGGCCTATTGCACGAATCTTTTTGTGCAACAGGCCTCTAGTATATATATATATATATATATATATATATATATATATATATATATATACTGTATATATATATACACACATGTGAGATTGCTGGATCATACAATTCTATTTTTAATTTTCAGAGGATCATCCATATGTTTTTCATAATAACTATACCAATTTATATTTCCATCAACAATACACAAGGGTTCACTCTTTTGTGTATCCTCACCAGCACTTAGCTCATGACTTTTTGCTCATAGCCATCTAAAAAGGTGTGAGGTGATACCTCATTGTGGTTTAGAATTCCTCTCCCGTGATGAGTAATGATTTTGAACACATTTTTATGTACTTATTGGCCATTTGTATGACTTTTTTAGAAAAATGTCTATTCAGGTCCTTTCCCATTTTAAATCGGATTATTTTTTTGTTTTGTGCTTTTTTTGTTGGTTTTATTTCTGCTATTGAATCATATAAGTTCCTTATATGTGTTGTATATTTATCCCATATCTAATATATAGTTTGCAAATATTGTCTCCCATTTCTGTAAATGGCCTTTTTATTTTGCTGATGGTTTCTTTTGATGTTCATAAAATTTTTAGTTTGATGCAAAAATAAAATAAAATAATAATTAAATCTTCCCATTTCTGTCAAGTACTTGCAAGTAAAGGCTTCCTATCAGGAGTATTAAATGAGGGCTGGGGTCACGGGAGCTTCTGGCCTTAGAGGCACAATTTCCCATGTTAATTTTCTTTAGTATTATTGAATATCTGTAGAGTCTGAGCAAACTTTCTAGACATGTTATGCAGTGGGTCAAATGTGGCCTCAGTTTCTCTCTGGCTGTCTAAAACCACAGGAAAGTTTTAGGGCCCGGGCAGACCAAGCCTTAAGGAGGCCCCTAGCTAAGCCATTTAGTTAATTACAGTTGTGTCGGAACTTCCCTATGGGGCTCCAGCATTTCTGAAACCTCCACAAAAATTCTTAGTCACCTAAGAACATCCCAGAGTCAAAATATTCTAAAGAGAAATGTTGCCCCTTATCATCGGAGCTGAACGAGTTCAGCTCTCATTTATACAGCGAAGGTTTTCTTTTTTGCTCAGACTCTCAGAAAGCAAAACCAATTGAAGAGCCGAAATCAAATCCAGCCACCCATTTTTTTTACTCCAGTCCTGCCTTAGCCTGGGTTCTGTCAACCCTTAACCTGGGGTCCTAGCAATCCTGGTTCCACCTCGAGGATATTAAACAGCTCAAATAAAGTCCGGCCTTCGACCAAAGGAAGGGAAGGTTCTGGATCCAAGAGAAACTCACCCACGTTCACCCAATGGGCGGAGAACCGGCGGGCTCAATGGGCCCTTTGCTGGATCCTAGCACTGAGTCAAAGTCCAAGGGATGGTCCTGGGTGAGTTTCTTTGGAATCCTGCTGTGACTACGCCAATTAATGTTAACGTTAAAAAAAACCCATTGAAACCTGTAAAGAATTTTTGTGAGTTTATTTGAGCCAAACTGTCAACATATGCCAGGAAGCAGAACCTCAACGAATTGAGATAGTGCTCCGGAGAACGGCAGGGTTACATCCATATTTATACATGAAATTCATTGGTGACAGATTTAAGGAGGTGGGATCAAGCGAAGCAGGGGAAACCTCTGTGATAGGATAAAAAGTAAAATGATGGACACATACTTAGGTGGGTGCAGGCACAATTAACATGACAAATGAAAGACTCTGCTGCATCTGTCCTGGGCCCAGCACACCTGGCCCTGCCCCAGGGGCTCCAGATACAGGGAAATCACAAGTTACCCAGACATTTCAAGGGTATGTTATCATAGATGCAAAAAGACAGATAGGCTCAGCTACAGTAAAGGTTGACCTTATCAGTGAGGATATCGGCTTAGGACGGAACTGCCCACCATAACTGCTTTTGGTTAAGGTTTAATTTCAGACCATCCTTTGTGGTTACTTTAGGTCTCGAGTCTGCAAAACTGCCATGCAGGCCTCTCCTGAGCTTGTCCGGTCAGCATGTGGCCCCTTTCGTCCACAGATCTTTCAGATGTTTTACATTGCCTGGGACTTACAGCCAGAATGCAGCCCAGAGGGCTCCCAGGTAGGGTCCCAGTGAACACCCACAGCTTGTTGTTTACAGGTCTTATCATATTCTGCTCTCCATAGCATTGACTGGCATCTAAAGTCATTTTAGCTAAAACATGCCAGTCACAACGCATCATATGATAATTTTCAGACAAAGCATTGAGTCCTTTTGTAAACGGACTGTTAGCCCCATTTTCTCTAGTTGATGAGCCTTCCCACACCAGAGGTGGAAGATCGGGGGCCTTAGGTATTATAGGCTTTACAGGCTCTACTTCAGGAGGAGGAGGGTGTGCTGGCAAATCCTCCTGGCGTTCTGTAGGCTTTTGATCCTCAATATGAAGTGGGCAATATACAGCTCGAACAAGAGCCCACATAGTTAAAGATGACAAGGGCACTTGTTTTCCTTGAGCCTGATCAAGGTCTAGTGTTCTAGCATCAGGGAACCAAGGATTATACTCTATGATAATATGCAAAAACTGTAAGAGAATACTTTCTGACACTTTAATTCCTTTATCCTTGAGCATGCAAGCCAAAAGTATACAATAATGTTTTTTCCCCTTTACTCGAATTCTTCCCCATTATAACCTGGCTGATTCCAGAAACATCCCCAGTCACTTATGTACACTCACAGTCACGACTCCGAAGCTGGCATGGGCTTTGTGCACTGGTGAGTTTCCACTTTTCCTTTTTCACTCTGTTATTTGCTCAGGAGAATCTTCTCCTCCAGTCCCCGTTCAAGGTGCCAATTGCCATGACCTGCACGGGGAGGTTCAGGATCTGAAGGAGGGGCTGATGCACAAATGAAAATGCTAAACAAAAATATGAATTATTAAGGGGTGGGGGCCAGGTGGAGTCTCTTTCTTGAAGAGACACATGGAGTCCTGGCCTTCTCCACTTTTTACTCAGTTTTACATACACATCTTGCCTTCAGTAAAGCACAGCAAGCACATAGTGTTAGGTTAGGTGGCTCAGGAGGTGGCGAAGGAAATAGAGAGTTGATCAGAAAAGGAAGGAAGGAAGGAAGGAAGGAAGGAAAGAAGGAAGGAAAGTTTATTCTGTGTCCCCGGGAGACCCACATACCCCCAAGGACAGGGCACGTGGATTCACGCGAATAGGGAGGGGGGCGCTTTTTTTATACTGCGGTGGGTGAGGGGCGGGGACATGAGCTGAGGTATTTAGCTGAGGAAGTTTCAGCTGCTGGGGGTCAGCAAGGTATTCAGGAAGGAGTCAGTATCTGTGTGGGGGTCGTGGAGAAGCCAGTATCCGTGTCTGGCATGCTGATCTGTTAGAAATGCCAGGGGTAGTCCATTATCTCGTCACATGTCTGCATGTATCCGATCCTGGGCTCTCCCCGACCTAACACATAGCAGACAGATAGTCTCAAAGGTCAGTAAAGATCAGTAAGGTCCAGTAAATATTTACTTGGAGGTTATCAGGTTGGGAAATTGCTTCGATCCACCAGAATCTCAACATGAACAATAGAACAATCAGTGCTTAGCCTAAGCCCTGCTAACGCTCAAGGTCCATTGGCCTCCTGTGTTCCTTGGTACACATTCATGATAGTGCTGGTATGCAGTGGTTTCCTGCATATACACATACAGATAAACTGTCAAATCAAAAGTTAGAATTTTTTATTTTATATAAAGCAGTCTCATGTATACAGTTTTCAAATATATTTTTTATTGATTTCAGAGAGGAAGGAAGAGGGAGAGAGAGATAGAAACATCAATGATTGCTGGGGTCCAACCCCAGCAGGTCCAGGGGTCCCCAAAGGTGTGGACGGAGTCGGCGAAGAAGGAATGACACGGAGACAGCGTTCAGTTGATCAGCAGCCTAGTCAGGATCTCCAGCTAGGAACTCCAGCCAGGTTCTGTAGCCATGTTCCCTCGCTAGGTTCTCCAGCCAGGTTCAGGCAGCGTTCAGTTGACCAGCATGGTTGGGTTCTCTCTCCTGGTTCTATCTAGGATCTCCAGTCAGGTTCTGTTGTCAGGTTCGGTAGCCAGGTTCTTCAGCCAGGTTCTGTCTAGGTTCTCCAGCTAGGGTCTGTCACCAGGTTCTAGTCAGGTTCTCTTGCCATGTTCTATCCAGGTTCTGTAGCCAGGTTCTGTCTCTAGGTTCTTCAGCCAGGTTCTCTCGCTAGGTTCTGTCTCTAGGTTCTGTCTCCAGTTTCTGACCAGGATCTTTTGCCATGTTCTCTCCAGCGAAGTTCTTCTGTCTCTAGGTTCTGTGTAGGTTCTGTGTCTAGGTTCTGTGTAGGTTCTGTCTAGGTTCTGTGTCCTGTTGTCTTGTTACATCTGTATTTATACCAGTTGATTCCAATCCTATCAATCTTTATTCCAAAGGTTAGGGCATTTCTTATCTCCATTCCAGGGAGTAAAGATTATGTAGCTTAAGCATGATTGTTCGTAGTTAAAGTGATTAATTACCCGCCTGGCACTTAGTTAAGGGGTTTTATTCCCTCCCTAACTTCAGGGGAAAATCCCTACCTGGGGAAACAACCTTTCTCAGAGAGGTGACCTTGGTTAAAACACATAGTGCCAAGAAGGTGAGCAAACATATTAAGAACAGTATGCCATATATGCCAGGTCCCTTGAAACAGCAAGGATGGACTGGCTCCCGGCAAATGATGAGAAAGAATCATTGATCAGCTACCTCCTATACACCCCACACTGGGGATCGAGCCTACAACCTGGGCATGTGCCCTAACTGGGAATTGAACTGTGACCTCCTGCTTTATAAGTCAATGCTCAACCGCTGAGCCACACTGGCCAGGGCTGGCCTCATCTCTTAAAGAGGATAGCACCAAATATTATTGGTTAAGGACCTGATATCAAGCTATACTACAGGCCATAGTAATCAAAACAGCATGGTACTGGCATAAACCCAGAACAGAGATCCCATAAATAAACCCACACCTCTATGGTTAATTATTATTTAACAAAGGAGGCAAGAACATACAATGGAGTAAAGACAGTCTCATCAATAAATGGTGTTGGAAAAATTGGACTGGTACACGCAAAAAAAAAAAAAAAAGAAAAAGAAACTAGACCACCAACTTACATCATACACAAGAATAAACTCAAAATGGATAAAAATACTTAAATGTAAGAAGTAAAACCATAAAAATCCTAGAAGAACACATAGGCAGTAAAATCTTGGACATATCTCATAGAAATATTTTTTTTCTTATATATCTCCTCAGGCAAGAGAAGCAGAGGAAAAAATAAACAAATAGGAGACTATATTAAACTAAAAAGTTTTTGCACAGCAAAGAAAACCATCAACAAAACCAAAAGAATGCAGGAACTGTTACAATACAACTGAAGTGTTTTATTGTCGTTCCCCCTGCTTAAAGCAATTGATGCATAACTATCTCTGTCTAGCACAATTCCATAGCTAGGCAGAGACGCTTGGCCTCAAACATGGAGAGAAAAAAAATATCGGCCGACCCAGAGGGCACAGCTGACTCCTCCCCAGACACCAACACCACCATCAAGCGCGGCCCTGATGGACCCTTTGATCCAGCCCTTCAACGCACTGATGCTTCGGGAAGCCCGTCGCCAATGACACCGCCTGCTAGCCAGATCAACAAGGACAACCAAACCACCAACTTGAGGACAGCTGAAATCCCTTGGCTGAAGAGGCCAGCAACCTTCTACAGCAGTGATTCCCAAAGTGGGCGCTACCGCCCCCTGGTGGGCGCTGCAGCGATCCAGGGGGTCGGTGATGGCCACAGGTGCATTTGTTTTAACTTTTTTTGTATTACCTTTCTATTCTGAGTTCAATAAATAGTTTCATAATTTCAAACTTCAATGTTTCTAATTTACACCTTTCTTTACTATATTTTACGAAAAAGGTAGAAACATTAATACATATATCTTTCTGTTTAATTGCTATTAAAATTTTAAAAAAATTAATTTCCAGGGGGCGCTGAGTAATATTTTTTCTGGAAAGAGGGCGGTAGGCCAAATAAGTTTGGGAACCACTGTTCTACAGGAACAAGGCTCCTTGTGCACTCCATCCACTATGTTTATTGCTATGCTCCCTATCATTGCTTGTCAGTCTTCTTCTGAGTCTTAAAGAACCCAATCCGAGAGGTGGCTGCTGATTTACACACGCTATCATTTAAAAAATAAAAAAGGGGGAATTTGCCGGAAGCCAGTCCACCCTTGCTGCTTGACACAGTCACTGCAGGGAAGAAACATCTGCACAGCTTATGTTTCAAGGGACCTGGCGTATATGGCAAATGTTTGCTCCCCCTCTTAGCACTATGTGTTTTAAACAGGACACCTCCCCGAGAAAGGTTGTTTCTCCAGGTGAGGATTTTTCCCTGGAGTTAAGGAGGGAATAAAACCCCTTAACTAAGTGCCAGGTGGGTAATTAATCACATTAACTACGAACAATCACACTTAAGCTACATAATCTTTACTTAGGATAATCTCTTTCAGTTACTTCCTTGTAGCTTAATAGAACAATAGAGTAACTTTGGAATGGAGATAAGAAACGCCCTAACCTTTGGGATAGAATTGATAGGATTAAAATCAACTGGTATAAATACAGATGTAACAAGACAATAAACATAGAACCTGGCTGGAGATCCTGGCTAGAGAACCTGGCTAGAACCTGGATAGGCTGCTGATAAACTGAAAACAACAACAACAACAACAACAACAACAACAACAACAACAAAAGACAACTCACTGTACAGGAGAACATATTTGCCAATGATAAGGAATTAAAACCCAAAATTTATAGAACTCAACATCAAAGAAACAAACGATACAATTAAAAAATGGGCAAAAATCCTGAACAGACACTTTTCTAAAGAGGACATACAGATAGCCAATCAACATATGAAAAGATGCTCATCATCACTAATCATCAGAGAAATGCAAATTAAAACCACAATGTGATATCACCTTACAACTATCAGAATGGCTATCATCAATATATCAACAAACAAGTGTAGTCAAGGTTGTGGAGAAAAGGAAACCCTCATGCACTGTTGGTGGGAATGTAGATTGGTGCAGCCACTATGAAAAACACAGTGATTCATCAAAAAGTTAAAAATGTAACTGCCTTATAACCCATTAATTCCACTTCTGGGAATACATCTGAAGAAACCTGAAACACTGATTCAAAAGAATATATGCACTCTTATGTTCACATTTGTTATAAAAATTCCCTCTTTTGTTCATCCACAGGATGTTTTAGTTTCATCTTCCAGATAATGGAATATAATTTTGTTAAGTTTCATACAGCAATCAGAAAAACTATATGGTAATGCAAGTTCATTTGCTTGGTATACCCAAGCTAATTCAACTGCCATTATTTTTAACTGAGTGTGGTGTCTTTTCAGAAAATGTGTGTGTGT